AAAATGATCCTAACTCTCTCTCTCTCTCTCTATATATATATATTACAGTTGCCTTTAAATTCACTCTTCGTGGTCTGTTTGTGACATATATAATGGATAAAGAGTTGGAAAATATTTGAGTTCGTACGTTTAATATTCTATCAAACATTTTATAGTTGAATATGGTAATATCAAAAGACTATTCGTTAGTTTAATCACATAATAATAAATATTATTAATATGTTTAACAATTTTCCCACCTATAAATGGGAAAATTTCACATAATAAGAAAGTTGTGGTATTATTAATAGGCTTAACAATCATCTATGCAAAAAGTAGTGTGATATTAATATAGTTATTTGGCAACCAAAATTTTAAACTTTTTTTCCCACCTATGATGTTTAAATTTCAAATTTAAATTATTTTTTATCAACTATAAATATTTTTTTATAATTTTAAGTTGATTTTTTTTAATCTATAATTTTATATTGAATTCAAATTTATAATATATATGTCCTTTTTCCACTGAAAAAACAATAAATGCTGAACTCTTTCTCCACTTATCAAGTTCAAAATTCAAATTTAAAAAGTTTAAATTTTAAATACTAAATATTTTCTCACCCAATAGATATAATAATAAATTTTATTAATAGAATTAATAATTTTTCATACAAAAATTAGTGAAAAACATCCATAAAAGGTTGTGCACTTTTTTCATGTAATAGCTTTTAGTTATTCATCTACGACATAGAAAATTGTGTTAATTATACTCTTGCGATAAAAAAATAAAAGTTTAATTTCTTTCTTATATTCTAAATTAAAATTTTCATTTTGTTTACCAAAAAAAAAAAATTTAAAATTTTCATTTTTATAGTTATTAAATTTTTATAAATTTTTTATACAGAATGATATAGGTCATTTTATTTTTTATTTAAATTTAAAATTTAAATTCTTTTGTATTAATTTATGTTTTTTTAAATTTGTTATACATGTATATTCAAAATGTTTATGTTAAATATTATTTAAAAAAATATTTGTACGAATTTGTTTTTCTCTTTTTGTATTACTTTTTTAAGTTAAAATTTTAATAAATATTCTTTTAAAGTATAAATTCGTCATTTCTTATTTTTTATTTAAATTTAAAATTTAAATTATATTTTATCAGCTAAACATATATTTTATAATTTTAAATATTTTTTTAATCTATAATTTTATATTAAATTCAAATTTCTTTTATAGATATCTTTTTTCCATTACAAAAATATTAAATGCTGAACTCTTTTTTAACTTTTCAAGTTCAAAATTCAAATTTAAAAATTTATATTTTCAATATTAAATATTTTTCCACCCAATATACATAATAATTAATATTATTAATAAGCTTAATAATTTTTCATATAGAAAGTAGTGGGAAACATGGATAGAAGGATATGCACATTCTCCAAGTAATAGTTTATAGTTTTCATTTATGACATATGAAATTATGTTATTTATACTCTTACATCAAAAGAATGAAAGTTTAATCTGTTTGTTATATATTAAATTAAAACCTTTTTTTGTAGTGATTAAATTTTATTATTTATTTTTTACAGAGCGATAAATGTCATTTTTTATTTTTAAAATTTAAATTCATTTATTTTCATTATTTTTTTATTTGTGAGTTGATACAAAAAAGTATTCCACTAAATCGAATATTTAGTGAATTGGATTAAACTGCATTTAATATAATCGAATATTTTATTATTTAAACAAAAACATAATTAAAAAGTACATGTAGAAAGTATTGTGATCATGTCTACAAAAAAAAAGTAATGAGATAATAAATGAGCTGTCTGCCACCAATAATTGTTCAAATATTTTTCCACTCTTTAAAATTCAAATTCAAATTAAAAATTAAAAATTCAAATTAAAATTTAAAAATTAATATTTCATAAAGCTGTGAGATATTATTAATTTGGAAATTCCAATGCAGAAAGTAGAGGGACATTAAATGAGTTGTCTGCCACCAAAATATTTTATTAATTACAAATTCAATTTTATTTTTTATTTTTCTATTTACTGATTTTACCAAAGAATGAAAGGTTTTAAATATTTTGTAGTGTGAACACAAAGCTGAAAGTGAAGGAGAAAGCGACACGCCAGCATACTTGTCAAAGAATGGGTTTGTCTTAGAATATAAGATTGTTATTTATTACTTATCAAATACATCATGTTTATTTATATTTACTTTTTTGACATGTAGTAAAAAAAGCTCTATGTAAATTAATTTTTGTTACTTTTAAAGGAAAGAAAGTAAAAACAGAAAAATAACAAAACGAGTTAAAGAGCTAAGATATTGTATAAATTTTATTTAATTGAACATTAGTACAAAAATCATGAATATTTTAATTGCATTGAATTGAAATTTTCATTTAAATTATCGTCTTCACCTTTCACTCCCGGAAAAAGCCCGATTGGGTGAACTGTTCCCGCAAATGTACAAATGAGATGGGGGTAAAAAAATAATCGATTGCCTATGTAAAGAGATGGCATTTTGGAGAAGAAGGAAGTGTTAGGTTATATTGAATTAGGATTTTAAAGGATTTTAATGAATTATTTTTGGACAAAAAAATTTATTGGTATTCAATTAGGATTTTAATGGATTGAAAGAAAGTCATATGGTATTCGATTAGGATTTTAAAAGATTATTTTAGAGTCCGTTCAAATCCGTTAGTATTCAATCAAGATTTTATACAATGAAAAAATATTCTTGTGGTATTCAAAAATCTAACGATTTTAATAGATTTTTTATTGGTGTGGATTTCGTGAGACGTTTTAGTAAGAAATATAATTAGGACACCTCTCTCACAATCTCATCCGAACTCCTAGGATTTCTTGAGATTTCTCTATTGCAGTGTTTTTTCTTGCTTGGCAAGTTGACCCGCTCGAAATCAGGTTGCGCCATGGGAGCTTCTCGAAACTCAAAAATAGCATATTTTTGAGGGATTTTCATCACAAAATAACTTAGAAACAACAAACTAATGATATTCTAATATAACTTATCTCAAAAACAACATATTTTTGTGCCATTTTTTAGAAATTTTGGAAGTTTAAAAAGTAAATTCTCAAGCTATGGGTCGCAGTTTTTTTTGGCATAAAAATGCATGATTTTTGTATTAAAAACAACATAAAAACTTGTAAAAATAACAGGGGAACTAAAACCCTCAAACCTGTTATCAAAAAAAAAAAAACCCTCAAACCAATTTTCATTTTACTTCAATGAAATAATATCAATTTAAAAAAAAATTGAAACTTTCATAATATGAATCCTATATTTCGTTACAATACATTCATGAACGAAATTTTTTCACTATAAAAAATGATTTCAAACAATTTTTGTGTCAATAGATAACTAAAAACTTGTTTTTCAAAAGCCCTAAAGCAATTTAAGGTTTCAATGTATCGATTGAAAAAAATTTGAGAAATTTTTTAAACTCTAATGTAATAAAATCCAAAAAATCAAATTCGAAATTTTCTTAGAATATTCAATGAAAATATGCATATGATATATGGTTAGAAAACTCTTATCACGTAGAATAAAAACCCCAAAGTTTTCAAGATCAATTGCAAAAAAATCCAAACGAAATTTTATCATGAACTTTAGGTTCTATATGCAAATTTAGAATTTATTTTAATAATTTAAAAAAATTGGGTCTTATAATCATATATGCATAGCTTTGATACCAAACGAAGAAGATAATTTTCAACTCATTGATCAAACCCAAGAGCAGGAACGAGAAAATGCTAATGCATGGAAGACTAGTATAACTTTAGATATGTGAAAGACTGTTGCTTAGTAATTTTGAATGTTTGTTAAAAATTATATTATGTTTTACTAATTGGAAAATTATATTAGGTTTTACTTTTTTTTATTAATTTCATTGCATTTTTTTGTTAATTTTTTATGGGGAAGGTTATACTTATAACCTATTTTTGTTTACAACTTTTTACCACCATATGAATGATAATCGTTGATTGACGAAAATCAATGGTTAAGATATGGTTGTAAACAAAAATAGGTTGTAAGTATAATCTTCCCTTTTTTTATTGACTCTTGTAATTTTGAATGTTTGTTAAAAATTCATATGGTTTTTTAAAATCTTATAAATTCATATTGTCCTTTCAAATCTTATAAATTCTATTAAAATCCTTTAAAATTCAATCTTATGAAATCTTGATTGTAAGAAAAGTTTTTTAAAAAAGTCTTTAAAGTTTCTCCAATTCTAAATAGTCTTTTAAATCTATAAAAAAATTTATCTCAAAAAAAATCTTTTAAAATCCTAATCCAATACCCCGGTTAGTATCTTTTAATGCAATGGTGATATTCAGTTTTAAACTTACGACTTATTGAAAATTATTTAAGCCTTCCACTACTAGCTTAGACAAAATGACTTATTCAGTATTTAGTTGTCAAATAAGATAATCAACTTGAAGTTTAAAAAACAAGAGAACAAGAATTAAAAATAGGGGAAGTGAATAAAAATTGAGGGAAACAGAGTAAAAAGTAGATATATAGTAAGAAAATGTTTAATAGTAATTAAAAAAAAAACTTTCACCAAAATGTTTCCTCCCACTACTCATTTTCTAACTGCCATCAATTGGATAGAACACTCTTGAGTCTTGGGACCCACTTAAGGCATTTAGAGTGCAAACTTCATTATGTAACCTCCAAATGTAAGTTGATTTTTTATGATTCTCAGTTCATATGCATTTGAAGTGGCATCTCCCTCTCTTTCTTCCTCTGCTTCTCTCTTTTGTGAGTCTTACAACAACAAAATCTGCAACCACTTCTTTCATCACCATTTTGGTACATAACACTTTCTAATAAAATTCCCAAAGTCCAAACACAACAAAGGAAAAAAAAAAAAACTCTTATCATTAACAGAAAGAGAAACACACCCTCCTCGTTCATTGTCATTTAAATTGTAGCTTCGCCAACTGCTTCAACCACCTTTCCATCTTTCTTTTCAGTTTTCACTCCAATGGGGTCTTTTGCCATATCTATTGTTCTGCTTCTTTCTCTTTTCACTCAGATGCATAGAAGCAATGCAAAGAGTGAGTGTGATTTGTTTCATGGTAGTTGGGTTATTGATGATTCATACCCTCTTTATGAAAGCTCAGTATGTCCCTTTATTGAGAAGGAATTTGATTGTCAAAAGAATGGTCGTCCTGATAAACTCTATCTCAAATTTAGATGGCAACCCATTGGGTGCAACTTGCCAAGGTAAACACAATGTCCCTTTTTTTTTTGCTATCTTTCCTTTTGTTAGTTTTTCACTGTAATGTACATTTAATTGTTTCTCACCAAATCAGATAGTCATGGATGCAAGTTTGTGATTTTTACTTATTGAAGAGGTTTCTCTATAAATGATTGGTTTTGTCCTTTACTTTTTATTTGTAATTAGCAACTCTTAAGATCAGAAAAAACAGCAACCCTTATTGTTTTTGTACTTGGATTGGGTACCTAGCATGGCCATTTCAAAGCTAGAGAATACTCACTCATTGAATTTCAACAAATTCAAGGGAAATTACCATTACAAAGGAAGTTCCAATCATAGTTTATATGTACTCAATCCCTGATGAGTATCAATCAACAACCAATCAATTAGGGCTCCTTTTATGGGCAAAAGACTTTTGTCAAGTAATGATGTTTTCTGTAAAATTAAAACAGAGAAATAAGAACATTGAGAACAATAGTTTTGAATCTCCTCTATATTATCTTACTATAAGACTCTGGACTTGAATGTGACATTTGATGTAGATTTCTCATTCCCTCAGGGTACACTTGTTACTTCTATCAAGAGAAAATCAAATATTTAAATGTGTTACCAGAAGACACTTTTGTTTCTTTTGCACAAATTAAATCTGTTATCTTTTTTGCTGGACACTCCCTGCAAGTTGTCAAGCACGGCCACCTTAGATAACAACAAAATACAATTTAAATGATCATTAATGGTCGTGTAATTTTAAATGGACCCACTTTGGATTGGAATGAACTTGGCTGGTGTACAGATTCAATGGTGAAGATTTCTTAAGAAGACTTAGAGGAAAGAGTGTCTTGTTTGTGGGGGACTCCTTGAGTTTGAATCAATGGCAATCACTCACTTGCATGCTTCACACAGCTGTGCCAAATGCCAAATACACCTCAGTGAGGATTGGAGATCTCTCCACCTTCACCTTCCCGGTTAGATCTTTGTCACCTCTCACTTTTCTTTCATTCCTCTTCTCTTCTCTTATTATTAGTATACCAAGAATCATTATCACGATTTAACTCTAAGACATCTACCCAAATTCATGTTTATCCCAATTCCCAACTACTTTCTCTATGCCAAGGTGGATTTGCTTACCAAAAACAATTGGTTTGCAACCTTAGATAATTTTGGAATTATATAGGGGTTTAAATTCTAGTAGTAACAGTTTGAATGCTACAATGCAATGATATAATAAATTAATAATACCTCCTAATAGCTGGTCTCGTAATTTATTAATTTAAGGTATTAGATTCCCACATAAGCAGGCAAAAATGTGACCAAACAATTTATTCAATGAAATTGGTGCTGATGAAAAAGAATAATGCAATGCTTATGTATCCATCATTAGAAATAATCAAAAGTTTAACAATTACCCACACAAAACAGAAAAAACGACATAATTATTGAAAACACACAATTAGAGGGGGTAAAAAAACTACACTGACTTATTAGCATATGCATCTATTAAATAGCATAATCGTATCCTGATTGGAACAGTTAATTATTAGATCAAATTTAACAAGTCTTATTTGTTGGGTCTTTCCACATGGAAGTTTCAGGAGGAGAAAATAGTTTTATTAATAGTGTAAAAAACAAGCCCTGCGCAAATGGGCATCGTTAAAGCTTTGAAATTTCTTTAAAGGCCCACTTCAAATAAATAGTGACAGTTGTTGGTCTATACTTAATATTAAATTGTTATCGTGAAAGTTATCTTCTTTTTGAGAACCTAGTGCCTATCTTTTCGATTATTGAATCAGCTGCTAATCATTATGCACTGGCCCACAACCACCAAGAAAAATGGTTAGTTTCAATGTTCATGCATGAGGTTGGGAGTTATGATTGGTATTTGTAATATTAGGCGCTGAACTAGTTTGGAAAAGATACATCTATGGTTTGCATAGTCTAGGAAATTTCCAACTATCATAACAGTGGATAAATTTCAAACTTGGATTAGAAACTTATTTCAGTGACAAACTTAATTGAGGGCAGTTCTAGGATCAAATACCACATGACTCATTGTTTGCATACCATGTAATTTGCAGAGCTATGATGTTAAGTTGATGTTTTCTCGTAATGCATTTTTGGTGGATACTGTAAGTGAAAGTATTGGTCGAGTCCTGAAATTAGATTCACTTGAAGCCGGAAAATTGTGGAAAGGAACCGACATATTGATATTCGACACTTGGCATTGGTGGCTTCATACAGGAAGAAAACAACCGTACGTAAAATTCCACAGTTGGATGGATTAGTGATACACTCTTCATCGATCTTGTTCACATGCAAGCTTAACATTTTAAATATTATACTCGGTACTCTCTTTCCTTATACTTTTGACTATGCAGATGGGATTTCATTCAAGAAGGAAATCATACATTCGAGGACATGAATCGTTTGGTTGCTTTCGAGAGAGGCTTAAAAACATGGGCCAAATGGGTTGAAGACAATGTTCTCCCTAACAAAACAAGGGTATTCTTCCAAGGTGTCTCTCCAGATCATCTAAAGTATGTATCTGCTCTAAATGAACTATAATGTAATAACAAAATTCTTTCGAACCATTTTTTAAAATAAATTACTAAATTGACTCATTTTGTTAAAACCACTTTTCAAAACCTACTAGCAAACTTGATTTGGTTTTTTTTTCCCTTGCTAGTTACAAGTTTGCAGCTTATTGTTGCCTTTTGACATTCATGTGTAATTTTTTGGGAAAAGCCATTTTAAAATTTTTGGGCAAAAGAATTACCCAATTAAAGCTGATTTGATAAGTTATTCCAAACTAATGCAGTCAAACATGTCACTAATACTGATAGGACTAGTTCCGTCAATGATATTGTAAAATTTCAGAAGACCATAACTTTTGACTCGACTATCCAAATCAGATGATTTTTTTTATTTCACATAACTTTTCGAGATCTATGGAATAACACCTCATTTGACGTATTTTATCTCTCACAAACATAGTTTGAATTTGTAAAAATTGTACCACAATCACAAGAGCATTTAAATCCAGAAGACGACACATGCGGCAGCTCATAGTGTTGGTTCGGAAAGAACCCAGGATCTTCTGGATTTAAATGATCTTATAATTGTGGAACTATTATTGCAAATTCAAACTATGTTTGTGGGAGATAAAATGTGTCAAATGAGGTGTCACTGCGTAGATCTTAAAAAATTATGTGAAATAAAAAAAAACATCTGATTTAGATACTCGAGTCAAAAGTTATGGTCTTCTGAAGTTTTACGATAACGGGACTGACTACATGGCGCTGACGTGGCACGAGTCCCGTCACGTCAGTATAACTGACATGTTTGACTGCATTATTTTGAAAAAACTTATCCAATGAACTTTAACTGGACAATTCTTTTGCCAAAAAATTTTAAAATGGTGCTTTAACCATAATTTTTTGAATAACTTCTAATTCCATCACTGAGTTCAAGAAGGTTAAAACATCAAAATAAAAAATGGCAGAAGTAGGCTTTTAACATTGGAAAAGCCCAATAGGCCACTGACCGGAAACATAATGGGCCCTTAACCCACCTTTACCATAAAGAAAATATTTACAAAGGGGTGTGCTTTCATTATAAAAAAGAAAAAGAGAATAAAATCATAGAAGGAAAAAAATTAAAAAATATGTTAATGTACAAGTTTGTAGAATGGGAATTCAATTTCTGGGAATTATTGCAGTGCAGCGAAATGGGGGCAACCAGGGGCGAGATTTTGTGAGGGGCAAATGTTGCCAGTGTTTGGATTGAAGTATCCAGGAGGAGCACACCCAGCAGAGTTGATGTTAGAGAGAGTATTAGGAGCCATGTCAAAGCCTGTGTATTTGCTCAATATTACTACATTGTCACAGTTGAGGAAAGAGGGTCACCCTTCTGTTTATGGACATGGTGGGCATAGGGACATGGATTGCAGCCACTGGTGTCTACCTGGTGTTCCTGACACTTGGAACATGCTTTTGTATGCAGCTCTCATTCAAAATTAATTTGTCTAGCTTGTAGTCCTCATAAATAATATATAGTGAGCTTGTAACTATGTGCTCTAGTTCAAATTAAGTTCATATTCATTTTGTTATTGTTCTTACAGACAAAATGCTTTTGATACAAGATATGTTTCTAAAATCAATAAAACAAATTAAACTTTGTACAGGTCCATCAGTATAAGGTGTCTCGTTTACATATCATTTTATCCAATAATTCAAGGGAACATGTGTTAAGTAATGAATTTACCTTTTATTTAATATCTACACATTTTGTTTAATTTGTTTGTTCTCATTTTTTTTGTAATTAATAAAATACTAGATTGCATGTTCATAATTAAAAATAAATAAGTAATTATTAATTTTATTATTTATTTATTTTTATTTTTTAGGAGTATCTTTATTATCCATTTAAATAAGATTAATCCTCTTGGTAGCATATAGAACGTAAAAAAATTTGTCACTTACGCTTAGAAATCGAATCAGAGAGACAGAGACCATTCAGTTTATTAATCCGCTTACAAGTTCTGCCACCCTGAGTTAACTACAAATTATTTAATTACATCCATGATGATAAAGAATTTGCATGAAAAAGAAGTCGTAACCTATGAAGATAGATTATTAGTAAGCATGAGGATAAACAGAAGCTGCCATGATTTGTATGGGTTGAAATTAAATATTTTGACATATATAGGTATGACTGGCCCTCCTAGTCTACAGATATTAGCAAACAAAAATAAATCAGATAATGCTAATTAAATACCATTATGACTTCTACAAATGATAATTGACAGCACAATCAGTATTCGATTAGTCTTGTAAAAACAGAATTTCCAAATAGCGCGTTAAACACAATAGATGTAGACAAGAAAGGTTGACCACTTGACTTCCAACTACTTTAATAATGAATTTGACAAACCATGGTCAAAAGAAGAAACCATGAAGCTAGTAAGAGTCCAAAATGGGATGCTGCATTTTGCCAAGCTAAGTTAGCTGGCATAGCAGTATGGTGGCAGTCAACTTCCATGCCTATGCAATTATACTTTATAGTTTATACAATACATGCATTCTCTCTCGATCTGTCTCAATGCACACTTCATGTACGTATGGTTAGGAATCATGTTCCAATCCATTAATGCATCCAATAACATTAAGTTAAAATTAAACGTAGCTATCTATGAGTGAGGACCACTCCTTAACTCTGAGACCTCACTTAGCATTTAAATATTCATTACCCTCTTTATATTATTCCTCTAATCTAAGCGCGTTCTTTTCAGACCTACATGCACATATGGTGTCCCCACACGTTAGCTATCTTTGTCTTTTTCTACCAAAACAAGAGAACATTTGCAATTCATTCCCTTCTTCTTCTGGTAGCTGTTTGGAGCTATTTGCAACTCGTTGTTACGTGGGAGTTATTAATCTTATGTTACATAAGATAGGTATCTTATGTTGGTGAAATAAAACTGTGGAGCCCATAATTTTTAAAAAAATAAAAAATGAAAAGAAAAATGGACACAAAATTTTATGAGTGTGCAACGTAAGACAAGTATCTTATGTGACATAAGACAAGTATTTCTCTTATTACATTATCAATAAACACAGTTAGGATAGTGAAAATGGGTCATCCAGAAAATTATTGTAGGTGTATTTGGACAACTCCACTTATGATTTATGCAATCTGAAGTTCAGAAAGTAAAAATTAGTTGTTAACATTTTGGAGTTTTATTTTCCATATAGGATCAAGAAATTATTGAAAGCGCTTTGGAAACCGATGGAATAATAATAGGAGAAGAATTTTGCAAGATAGTGATTATCGTAAAGAGATTTGGTGTTGGCTTCGGATGCAACAGTTAAGAGATAGGAAAACGTGTACACTGATATTAACATCAAATGCAAGGAATGAAGGTCATCTACAAGTCCTTTTCCAGGCTCTATAAAAAGCAACATTTTAAAGGTTCTAGACCCTTGTCAATCAGTCAACATCACTAGCTAGTTGATAGCAATTAGTGATGGAAGTAACTAGTTATACGGTTATGTTTTCTTAAACTATTTTCTTGGTTCAGAAATTTGTTAATTGGTGTCTGGCAGGTCTACAGAACTAATCTTCCATTTCACACTTGTTTTGTCGTTTGTTGGTTTCTAAACTTTTTAAGAATATTTCACGATAACGGGTCCATTGTGAAAAAATTTGGGGAAAAAAAAAATGCTTTGTGGTATAATTTTATATTTAAGAGTTATTTTTTGATTTGTGATAAAAGTTCTAAAATAATTTTTTTATGTTCTTATTTTTTTTTTAAATCTCTAATTTTTTAAAAAATCTCTAATTTTTGTGAATTTTTTAATTAAAATAGTACTTTTTTCTTTTAAAAAAAACAAAATCAAACTAACATATTTGGTTTTATCATGCAAGAAAAAAATAAAATATCATTAATCGATTCCCCGTGCTTTTTTTTTTTATATTTTGTCATTAATTACATCTACACGCGAAACTTTTTCAAAACTCTTTCGATTAATATTTTTAATTTGTAAGGACAAATAAAAAAATAAAAAGTTATATATATCCCATAACTCATGTAGTTACATTATCATAAATCGATTCCCCGTGCTTATTTTTTTATATTTTGTCATTAATTACATATACAAGCGAAACATTTTCAAAACTCTTTTGATTAACATTTTTAATTTGTAAGGAAAACTAATAAATAAAAAGTGATTAGATTTACATTATTCCTTATTAATTATATAAAATTACAACTCTGGTACAAATAATTAGGGGTGGTAATTCAAGTCGATACACGGCACAATATGAATTCGACACTCAATACAAACACGACATGAATTTGAAATTAGATTAAAATCTTCGATATAAACGTGATCCACATATTTTAGGTTGACACTTTTGGATTTTTGTGTCAAAATCCCATGGATTATGAATAAGAAGTGAGTTGGAGAATAATAGAAAGATGGAAGGTGAAAGGGATGTGTGGGTAGAAGTCTCACATTGAACATGTAATGAGAAGTGAAAATGTTTATAAGTGACGGACCCAAGAAATTTTATTTATGTTCGCACACTTAGAGACGGGGGTTTTGGGGCAGCGCCTCCAATTTTGTTTAATTTTTTTAAATACATTAAAAGCAAAAGAATATAAACAAGAAAATAAAAGAAAACTTGTACATTTTAATCCTGCGTATCCACGTGATTTTCTTATTTAAATGTAGACAATACTTTTATGGTTTTTTTTCACCACCCAAAAAGTAATATAAATTTAGATGAATATAGTATAGTTTTAAGGGAATAAGATAAAATTAATAGTTTTGTAGAAAACTTGAGACTTAAAAAAACAAAAAACAAAAATCTAAAGCCGACGCACACAAAAACTCTCACAGATCGCTAGTCTCTTACAATGTTTTACCACCATATTTCGCCCCGATTTGACAGTGGTTCCTATTTACCAGCGACGGGTTGCAATGTTCTATTTCTTTTCACTCTCCAATTTCAACCACCTCTTCCTCCTCCTAACTCCACCAATTTTGATTCAACGCAAAAGCACACCGCAACTCAACTCCACCAGGTGGGAATATGCAAAAGTAATTTTTTTTTCAAAAGTTTCTGTTTGCACTTGCAATCACTTGCAACAATGTAGGTCCCCCAATGTTTATAAGCCTCCACCTCACCTCTCAAGTTTTTCCCTTGGAGCACATCACTTTTGTGGAGGAGAGAGAACGCAGGTGAGTGTTGCGAATAATCAGCAAGTGTACCGATCGTTCCAAGTAATAAAAGTATCAGTAGAGTATCGTCTCCACGAGGATTGAGGCACCGAATTTATTATAACTATTCCTCTCTTGTTGGATTAATAAAATTGGTTTGAGAATAATTGTGTTTCGTGGAAATTGAGAACAATTTAAGAAAGTGTGAATAATTCAAAGAATCTTTAAAAATTCAAAAACGAGATATTAAAGGTTGAGAAAATATTGCGATAAAGAACGCCAACACCTTTATGATCTCCACCTTATAATCTGAATTAACATTTACATTTAATTTATCCATAGATCAAACCAGTGTTATTAAAATCGAATCGGACTGGCCGGTTTAACTCGGAAACCGCTAAACCGGACATGTAACCGAGCTTAAAATCGAATCGGACTGGCCGGTTTAACTCGGAAACCGCTAAACCGGACATGTAACCGAGCCGAGTTACACAACGGATCGGTAATGCAATTAAACCGGTACGGATCGGGTTGACCCAACCGATTTTATCGAAACCAGTAAATAACCGGCGACTCGGCTCGGAAGAATAAAACGGTTTTCTTACGCCCAAGGCCACGTAGCTATTGTAATCACAATGCACTTAAAGCATCTCCAACAGTTTATAAACGTTATACTTCTCCCTGATTTGGTCGATGTGGTACCTTTAAATCTCATGGCATCGTCAACTACACATGGAAAGCCTAATAGAAGTGTTTCAGAGCAGATATTGGTAGAAGCCCAAGACACGATGTCCTGTTAAGATTTTCACCTTCCTCTGCATGTTTTTGGTTGAGTTAGAGTATAATATATTTAAACTTGATGAAAAAAATCTGGTTGATTTATTGCAGGAAACAACCCCCCCTGATGCACAAGGAAAAACACAGGTCTCAGGGGCTGCATCTCGCTTTTCTCGTTTTGGTTTTGGCTCACAACTCGTTTTGGTTTTATTATGATGAAAAGCTGAAGAGATGGGTAGAGGAAGGTGCTGAACTTCCAGCTGAAGAAGTTGCACTGCCACCACCTCCAACAACTGCTGCTTTCCAGAATGGTTCAAATGAGTACAACTTGAAATATGCATTGAAGACTGAAGGTTCACCTCCTAATGAGGGCTCTAACATAAGAAATTCAAGTCTTGAACTTTCTTCAGGGAAGCCACCGATACCATCTAGCTCAATCCTTTCTCTGCCCGCGGACGCATGAATGTTCGGTGAAGGTAACATCTTATTTTTCAATCTTTTTAAGACAATGTTATTGT